TCAAAATTGTCCTTCAAATATTTTCTAAGTGCACCGCCATCAGCATATTCCATTACTAACCAATATTTTTTCAATTGATTAATTTGATTTTCTAATTTTTTTTTAATTTTTAAAATATAAAATGCAAATGTAAAAGTCAATACGAATTCTTTAATAACTTAATTATTTAATATGTTATACCTTGGTTTGATTCTGTAATCCCCAAAAAGCGAATGATATTGCAATGAAAATCAACCTCTCATTGAAATTCAAGCTAAATTATTCAAAATATGTTAATAAATAAATGATTTTATAATAAATAGAATGAAATGCAATACGAATTGAATTTGTAATTACCTCACGAACAAGTTCTTTAACAGTGGCATTATTGAAGTAATGTAATAATTTTAACGCGAGGTATTGCTTTGAACTTTTCCAATTTGCACGATAGACTTATCCAAAGCTGCCTATACCAATCTCTTCAAAATTACTAAAATGTTTGTATTCATAATATTTGATATCTTTGCTTGAAACATATTCATCAAACCACTCATTTGAATAATTGGAAGTTTGCATTTTGATTTTTTTTTAATCGGATATTTATCAAGCGAAATGATGAGAAAAAAAAATGCATTCGGTAGATCATGCAACATTTATAAATTTCTAAGCCACTGCTCATTATGAACGGTGTAACCGTAAAAATTTTTTTTATCTAAATAGTATTTCCTTTTTAAAAAAAAAAAACTATTTAGTTAGGTATGACTCTAAAAGTAAAATAAGTGGTTTACTAAAATTATACAAATCCTTATGAAATGTATAAGAATCTTTCTATCTACAATTGAAAGATGTTTTTAAAGTGAAACAGTGGCAAATATTCACCACTGATTGGCTATAAAGTTAGAAAATCCTTCTTCATGAATTTTACCTAGAGTTTGATAAGGTTAAAATATTTATAATGGCTACGCTCATTTCCAAAAAAAAATTTTAAAAGCGAAAAGTTATTGTATAAGTTTTTAATAAGATTGATTATGTTAATCTATTAAACTTCCACAAGTTATCAATGAAATTTGTCCTTTTATAATTAATTGATTAGAAATAAATGATCCCTCGATTGTGATGCTACAAGTAAGAAAAATCATTATTCTAAGAATAAATATACAAATTATTTTAATTAATAGTTATGGCCGGGCCTTATTAACACTTTGTTTTATTATTATGAAAAAATGAAAAATAAAAATTTTATGAATCAACAAAGGCCTATTTTATTTATGTTTTATTTTATTACTAAATTATCAAATTTTATTTTTTTCTTATCTTTTTAGGTTAGTTTCGTTCCTCTTTCCCGGCTGTGAACTGAGGCAAGAGTTTTTTTTCGAACGAACGGTCCGGTTCGTCACCGCGGCGAAGGTAAGCCGACTCGAAATTAATATTTTTTTTTAGTTTTTTTTTTTAATATTTTTATTTTTATTTTAGTTCGATCGGTTCCCTCTTAGGCTAAGTACCGGACGGAACTTTCGAACGGAACCGTCCGGTTCGTCACCGCGGCGAAGTTAAGCCGACTCGATATTAATATTTTTCTTTTTTTTTTTTTTTTTAGGTTTTTTTTTTTTTTTTTTTTTTTTTTTTGTCTCTGTGTTTGATGTATAGTACTCCCGCCACGAATAATTATTGTTCTCTTTAAGAATTCTAAAAAAAGAGTTTATTGAATTTAGTGACAACGTCTTAAGTATTGTCGAACAGTTTTTTTTTTTGTGAAGTGTCTTTATTAAAAAGAAATCTGTAAAAAAAAAAAAAAAATTGTTCGACAAAACTTCCTGATAGCCTTATGACCTAAATAAAAAAAGATAAAGCCTTCCCTAATGTTCAGTGTATCGAAGGCACTAATAATTGATTAAAAAAAGCTAACTTCAAAAGAAATGATACATTATAATAAGTTCGTCGAATTAAATACACACAGTCAAGACCATTTTAGAGATACACGGTAAAAGGTAAATTTATAATATTCTTTTATTAAACTCATGGTTTTATCTATCTCGAGTTGATTTTCATTCAGAGGGAAAATACAAGATAATAATTTACTAACTATAATAATTAATGTTCTATAAATATAATAAATTAATTATAATAAATTAATTCTAATTAATCATCTAATTACAATAACAAATATGAAATTTTTCGTGAGGCGGGTACATAAAGGCCCATTCGAAGTTTAAAATAACGATCTTTGTTGCTTAGTTCGAAGCCTAATTCTATAAGATTCAAATTTCTTCGTATCCTATTTCCTTCCAAAATTCCACTAATTTTGTTCGAGAACTCCTTTGGTCTAGGTGGAAACAGGACGAACTCTTTTCAATTTCCATGATTTCTCCTACTTCGAGAAAAGATTCATCATTTCGAAACTGGTAAATTAACCACTCAGTTTTAGTGTATGGATCTTTTGCGATATTAGACCATTCTTTACAGGTTAACGACAAGTTGAATGGTCTAAAAAAATATTGACTTTAATAGATTTTTCGAGGTGTAAATCATTGGACTTTTTT